TTAAACAATTGAATGTCGTATAGTCTCCCCTATCTTCCTTTTTTTCGGTTAAAACGGAATAATCTATTATTTATATGTTACTAGCAGGACGTAACGGCCGTGCTAATTAAGTAACAAAGGGAGGGGCAAGTAGAATTATAATAAAATTATTATTTTTATTATTTTTATTATTACAACAACTGTTTCAATGATAAGCAGCAGAAATAAATAATGACAAACATAATATATATCATAATACAATGTAATGTGAATTGAAATGCTTTTGTCTAATTTACTTCATTCTTAAAGTTGTTGGTGCGAGGTGTGTGGATGAGTGACAGAAAGTTATGAAAAGCATTTTATATCGTTTTTAAATGGTTTCCCAGCGTCCCGGTAGTTGATGATTCGAAGCCTGGCACCGGTTCGCGGCCCGGGTGGTTAAAGAGCACTAAATAGTCAAAGTATTGCCTGTGAAAGATTAACTTCCAAGAAATGGGATGCGAGTTCAGATCTCATCTGAAGCTAATTCTTTATTTCAATTACAAACTGTTTACATTAAGAGAATGGATCGATGAAAGCAAATGCAAAACAAAACAAAAAAAAAACGTTACGCTAAAACGCAATAAAGACGTCTAAAGTCGTAAAAAAGAAAATAAAACAAGGTGTATGAATGAATCACGAGCAATTCTTCACCTAATTCTATTACTCAACCGTTCTAATCAGCAAATCCTTTCTTACGAGCATCACTACCTCGAAAGCTTTTATCTAAATACCTCTTCTTCGTGTTTTCTCAAAGCTAAGTTTTTCCGGCATTGACTGCGACCAAACTTTAAGCGCTAGAATGATTCTAAGGGGTCTGTTCCCTTAACACTTTATTTGTTTATATTTTCTTTTCTTTCTTATTTCCATTTTTCTCACTGGAAGGGAAGCGGGAGCGGATAGAAAAGCGTCGGAGTAATTTGGAAAAAGATGGAAGACGTTCTAAAAGTGAAGTTTTCTCCAATGGAAGACATTACAAAGATCGTCTGCCATTGCTTTGCTTGCTATTCTAGCGTCTCTTGCATTGGTTCTTTGTTTATCTGAAATGGCCTTCTATCGCCACATCTTTTCTCATCATTTCTCGTTGTTTTCTCCTCCTTTCTTCTTTCCTTTTGCATCCTTTTCGCTTTATAATTTTCTGTATTTATTTATTTACCTCCATTTATTTCATCTCAAATTCTTCCTGTACCTTCACCTGTATATTTCTTTCTTCTATTTGTCTTTCTTTCTTTCTTTCTTTCTTTCTTTCTTTCTTTCTTTCTTTCTTTCTATTTGTTTGAATCTTCTTTCTTTTTTTCTTTGTATTTGTTTGAATATTTCTTTTTTTCTTTCTTTCTTTCTTTCTTTCTATTTGTTTCCTTCTTTCTTTCTTTCTTTCTTTCTTTCTTTCTTTCTTTCTTTCTTTCTTTCTATTTGTTTGAATCTTCTTTCTTTTTTTCTTTGTATTTGTTTGAATATTTCTTTCTTTCTTTCTTTCTTTCTTTCTATTTGTTTCCTTCTTTCTTTCTTTCCTTCTTTCTTTCTTTCTTTTTTTCTTTCTATTTGTTTGAATCTTCTTTCTTTTTTTCTTTGTATTTGTTTGAATATTTCTTTCTTTCTATTTGTTTCCTTCTTTCTTTCTTTCTTTCTTTCTTTCTTTGTATTTGTTTGAATATTTCTTTCTTTCTTTCTTTCTTTCTATTTGTTTCCTTCTTTCTTTCTTTCTTTTTTTCTTTCTATTTGTTTGAATCTTCTTTCTTTTTTTCTTTGTATTTGTTTGAATATTTTTCTTTTTTCTTTCTTTCTTTCTTTCTTTCTTTCTATTTGTTTTTTCTTTTTCTTTTATTTCCTTCTTTTCTTTCTTTCTTTTTTTCTTTCTATTTGTTTGAATCTTCTTTTTTTTTTTTTCTTTGTATTTGTTTGAATATTTCTTTCTTTCTATTTGTTTCCTTCTTTCTTTTTTCTTTCTTCTTTCTTTGTATTTGTTTGAATATTTCTTTCTTTTTTCTTTGTATTCTATTTGTTTATTTCTTTCTTTTTTTTCTTTTATTTGTTTTTTTCTTTTTCTTTTTATTTGTTTGAATATTTCTTTTCTTTCTTTTTTTTTTTTTTTTTCTTTTTTTTTTTTCTTATTTCTTTCTTTCTTTTTTCTTTTTTTTTCTATTTGTTTCTTTTCTTTTTTCTTTTGTATTTGTTTGAATATTTCTTTCTTTCTATTTGTTTTTCTTTCTTTCTTTTTTTCTTTCTATTTGTTTGAATCTTCTTTTTTTTTTCTTTGTATTTGTTTGAATATTTTTTTTTCTTTCTTTCTTTCTTTTCTATTTGTTTTCTTTCTTTCTTTCTTTTTTCTTTTCTATTTGTTTGAATCTTCTTTCTTTTTTTCTTTGTATTTGTTTGAATATTTCTTTCTTTTTTTTTCTTTTTTCTATTTGTTTCCTTTTTTTTCTTTGTTTTTTTCTTTCTATTTTTTTTTCTTTTCTTTTTTTCTTTCTATTTGTTTGAATCTTTCTTTTTTTTTTTTTCTTTTTATTTCTTTGATTTGTTTGAATCTTCTTTCTTTCTTTCTATTTGTTTGAATATTTCTTTCTTTCTTTTTTTTTTCTATTTGTTTTGTTTTTCTTTTTCTTTTTCTTTGTATTTGTTTGAATTTTTTTTCTTTGTATTTGTTTTTTATTTTTTTTTTTGTTTTTTTCTTCTTTCTTTCTTTTTTTTCTTTCTATTTGTTTGAATCTTCTTTCTTTTTTTCTTTGTATTTGTTTGAATATTTCTTTCTTTCTTTCTTTCTATTTGTTTCCTTCTTTCTTTCTTTCTTTCTTTCTTTCTATTTGTTTGAATCTTCTTTCTTTTTTTCTTTGTATTTGTTTGAATATTTCTTTCTTTCTTTCTTTCTATTTGTTTTTTCTTTTTCTTTCTTTTCTTTCTTTCTTTCTTTCTTTTTCTATTTGTTTGAATCTTCTTTCTTTTTTTTCTTTGTATTTGTTTTGAATATTTCTTTCTTTCTATTTGTTTTTTCTTTCTTTCTTTCTTTCTTTATTTGTTTGAATCTTCTTTCTTTTTTTCTTTGTATTTGTTTGAATATTTCTTTCTTTCTTTCTTTCTTTCTATTTGTTTCCTTCTTTCTTTCTTTCTTTTTTTCTTTCTATTTGTTTGAATCTTCTTTCTTTTTTTCTTTGTATTTGTTTGAATATTTCTTTCTTTCTTTCTTTCTATTTGTTTCCTTCTTTCTTTCTTTCTTTCTTTCTTTCTATTTGTTTGAATCTTCTTTCTTTTTTTCTTTGTATTTGTTTGAATATTTCTTTCTTTCTATTTGTTTCTTTCTTTCTTTCTTTCTTTCTATTTGTTTGAATCTTCTTTCTTTTTTTCTTTGTATTTGTTTGAATATTTCTTTCTTTCTTTCTTTCTTTCTATTTGTTTCCTTCTTTCTTTCTTTCTTTTTTTCTTTCTATTTGTTTGAATCTTCTTTCTTTTTTTCTTTGTATTTGTTTGAATATTTCTTTCTTTCTTTCTTTCTATTTGTTTCCTTCTTTCTTTCTTTTTCTTTCTTTCTTTCTATTTGTTTGAATCTTCTTTCTTTTTTTCTTTGTATTTGTTTGAATATTTCTTTCTATTTGTTTTTGTTTCTTTCTTTCTTTCTTTCTTTCTTTTTTCTTTTTCTTTCTATTTGTTTGAATCTTTCTTTTTTTTTCTTTGTATTTGTTTGAATATTTCTTTCTTTCTTTCTTTCTTTCTATTTGTTTCCTTCTTTCTTTCTTTCTTTTTTTCTTTTCTATTTGTTTGAATCTTCTTTTTTTTGTATTTGTTTGAATATTTTTTTCTTTCTTTCTTTTCTATTTGTTTCCTTCTTTCTTTCTTTCTTTCTTTCTTTCTATTTGTTTGAATCTTCTTTCTTTTTTTTCTTTGTATTTGTTTGAATATTTCTTTCTTTCTATTTGTTTCTTTTTTCTTTTTTTTTCTTTCTATTTGTTTGAATCTTCTTTTTCTTTTTTTCTTTGTATTTGTTTGAATATTTCTTTCTTTCTTTCTTTCTATTTGTTTCCTTCTTTCTTTCTTTCTTTTTTTCTTTATATTTGTTTGAATCTTCTTTCTTTTTTTCTTTGTATTTGTTTGAATATTTCTTTCTTTCTTTCTTTCTTTCTATTTGTTTCCTTCTTTCTTTCTTTCTTTCTTTCTATTTGTTTGAATCTTCTTTCTTTTTTTCTTTGTATTTGTTTGAATATTTCTTTCTTTCGTTCTTTCTTTCTTTCTTTCTTTTTTTTGATTCTTTCTTTTTCTCCATTTCCTTTTTTTGTATTTGATTCTTTTTCTTCATTTCTGTCTTTCCATTTTTCGATTATTTCTTTCTTTTTATTTTAATTTCCTTATTTTTAGATTTTACCTCTGCATTCAAATTTTATTCTTCCTTTTTCTTTTCTTTTTTCCTTGATTTGTCCTTTCCGTGTTTCATTTCCTCGCTTCTCGTTCTTCTTTATTTGTAAAAAGAAGAGAAATCCCAGTTTCCGATGGGCAAACACAATACCTCCCCGCTTCAAAGCATCTCTTACCCACAGCAACAACATGGGCGAATAAATAAAGAATTTAAATGGATCGACCAGGGAAGGGAAAGGGAGATGGTACCAACGAGGAGCGTAGTAAACCAAGAGAGATTCACGTTATCCGTCATAAAACATACAAAATGGAAAGCACTTTATCTTGTTGCAGACAATAACAAGCACAGTGTGTAAAGAGATTCATTCATTCATTTCACTCATTCGAGAAGCACGAAGACTTTGGTATCAGCTCTTCTTGAAGATCTGTTCTAAGTAAAGGCTGTGATTTTTATTTTATTCTATTTCACTTTGTCTGTTTTCCAGTGGCATTCGTAGAACAGGCGTCTACTATATTTTCATTAAATCAGACGGAACTTAATGCCAAAATTGATTCTGGTTTTGGAATAACAAATATAATATGGATTAAAAGAATTACCAGTCAAATTATTTATTTTTTTATTTTAGGCAGGAAGGTAGTTAGGTAGATAGATAGATAGATAGATAGATAGATAGATAGATAGATAGATATTGGCAATCTGTGATAGATGAGAACGAATTAAAACATATATATATATATATATATATATATATATATATATAGAGAGAGAGAGAGAGAGAGAGAGAGAGAAAGAGAGAGAGAGAGATAGAGAGATACATAAATAGATACATAGATATATTAGAACACACTGAGTTAGATATTGGCAGTTTGCGATAGATATATAAGAGGTTAAGCTCTATATCAGTAGACAGACACACGCGCGCGCACACACACACGCACAACCAAACACACACAACCAAACACACACACACATACACACGCGCGCGCACACACACACACATATATATATATATATATTGGCACATACTTAGATGGTGAAATTGATCTCGATGAACAGAGATATGAATAAACTGATATAAACCTCCGAAAGGAAAAAAGAAAGGCAGCCATTTTCCTCACATAAAAGAATAACAAGTGCTGTGCTTCGTCTTCTCGATCTGCGATGTTTATTCACATGAGAACATTCACGAAATTCAGCTAAAGACCGAGTAAAGCCTCCACAGAGCACGAGGAAACTTTTAATGGCTTGATTGTTGAGAAGAATCAAAATTTATGACACACACACACACACGTACGCGCGCACACACACACACACACGTACACACACATGTGCATGCGCACACATGGACGCATAATTAGGCATTGTGAGATTACATTTCACCAATAAATTAAGTGCATAGACAAAAATAGAGATTATATTAAATAAAATTTAATGTTTTTACAGTGCTCATCTTGTACAAGGCTCAAGAGTCACTGGAGGTAGATTATTACAGATTACGAGTCATAGTTTATGGGAATATGGGCGTAAAATAACCATTGCTATTAGACATGAACAGGTTAAGATTGTAATGATCGGGGGAGTATCATCTTGGGAGTAGATTCAACAAAACAGCGGTTCGTGGGGAGAAGTGAACTTATATCTCAACAGGAAAATACGAAAAGTGTGAGGATGGTTCGCTCGATTGTGCATAACATGGCGGGTCTTAGCTGTGAATGTTAGAAATGGTGGAACTAATGGGAAGCATAATATTAACAGATATATTAAAAGTAATAATAACAATCAACAAATAATCAATAATAGATGATGAGTAAATAAAAGTTAACAAACGACTCTATAAAATAGCTACAAAACTGCATTCAGCTCCACAATTACTTCCACTCAGTAGTAGCTGAAATAGTTTGAAACATAGCCGTTACCGCCCGTCCAATTATCGTTAGAATAATACAATAGACCAAACCATAATGCACCATTGACCAACATATAGGAATAGTGAGATCAAGGCACAGATCTTGAAGAATGCGTTGAATCATGAAACAGACTGTCGACGCTGTGTGTTGATCTCAATTTACATACGCTCTATCCTTGAAAGTGAGCACGTTAAGCCATAAACACAACATACCTTAAAACTAATTTTTATCATATATATATATATATATATATATGTATGTATGTGTGTGTGTGTGTGTGTGAAAGTATGTATGTATGTGTGTATATGCATCTATATTAAAAATATAGAACAATTATGAAAATTTCACTTTTCATCCATTTTCCGGCATCACATGGAAAACGAAAACTCAACAGAAAAGGACAGAATGGTATTATGAAGAAAATAGAAACGAAAGAAAGAAAAGAAGAGAAATAAAACGAAAAAAATGAATTAGAAATTAAAGAAATCAAAACGGAGATAAGAAAAAAGTCGAAAAATGAAATAGAAAGATGGAAAGTGACGTAAAAGAAAAAAAATGAAGGAAGAAGAATGAAATAGAAAGAAAAAAAATTGAAAAAAGAGGAATAAAAGAAGTTAGAAAATTGAATAAGATGAATGACAGAAAGAAGAAAATTTTGAAAATGAAGAATGATATGAAAAAGAAAATTGCAAAGGGAGAATGATAGGAAGAAGAAAATTGAAAAAATGATTTTACGAAGGAAACAGGGATGGTGAAAATGTGTAAGGAAGAAAAGGGTAAATAGAAGAATGAAAGAGGGAGAGTTGAAACGAAAGAATGAAAGAAAGAAAAAAGTAACACAGAAAAAAATGAAGAAGTAAAAAAAGAAAATAACAGAAGCTTTCTAAATAAGGAAGAATTGCGATAGGTATGTAATGACAGAAATAGATATGAAGAAATTTAGTAGATATGTAAAGGCGGAGATAGATAGATAGATAGATAGATAGATAGATAGATAGATAGATATGAGAAACAGAGGTAGTATGCAGTGGGAAGATAGGAAGCACGCTTTAATGTATCCTTCAGACCAAATCTAAACAGATAGATATGAACAGAAAATATATATGAAAAGACAGGCTGACAGATACATAGATAGATAGGTAGATATGAGAACACAGACACAGGCACACACGCACACACACACACGCGTATATATACATACGCAAATGTAAATAGAACGAAACGAATATGAATTCAAACGCTCATAATATTAATTTAAAAGAGATCTCAATAGTAGAGCAATAGTTATTTATTATATATTACTACATTTGAATATTTATATATATATATAAAATAGCTGGGCACTCGTATTCGCTATTAGTGATTTATACTGCAACTATGCTGAGCATTTCTGGGAGAAAGTGTTTTATCTAGCGTGATCAACAATCTGAACAAGGCCAGCACACTCAAACGCTCGGTCACGATGACTTGTGGCTTCGTGCAAAACAGATATCTACGGCCCTCAAGGATTAAGTCTACCCAATATGATTCACAATTTTACTTTAATCCGTAGTATGGTTTTCAGGCTCTTTCCAAATGTGCCGCACACTGGGATCGTCCCCCCACCCAGACCGATAATATCAGGAAGTTTACTTCCTGAAAAACCAACCGTGGTGAGATTCGAAAGCGAACATTCTGATCACTCGGCCACGCGCCCATACATATATATATATTATCGTGATATATATATATATATATATATATATATATATATATATATATATATATATATATATATATATATATATAATTATTTATTTAAAAATATGATTCCAAATCGCTACATAAGAGGTCTCATGTTTCAAAACAAGAGCCGAAAACTTCAATATAATCCTTTAAATTAAATTGAGTTGAAAGTAAAATGGGCTCCGTTCCATCTTCAAGCGAAATTTTTGTTGAATAACGTATATCGGAAATTTACTTGTTTTAAAATTGAAATCAAAATCCCCATGGTAACAGCTAGGGTGAATTGTCTAAATTGGGTAGGCGAGTGTAGGGTGTTTATAATAAGTAGCGGTATAGAGATACTTTCAAGGTGTCAAGTCGGGGAAAGGTGGGGGTGTCAAAATGAAACGGAAGATGTATTGGCCATCGTCTAGTTTGCTTGTTCATGGAGATTTATTTATTTATTTTATTATTATGAAAAGGAATTGTGCATATAAAAAAGAAAAACTTTCGTAACGTTTGTTTTTTTGACGACTTCATAAAGGGTTATCTTATATGTAAGGTATTTAAACTACTAATTTAGGCTATGGATTATGAAGTGTGTTATGTTGTATGCATGTTTGTAGTTAATTATTCCTACTATGAATCTGATGATTGGGCTATTTGTTAAACAAGTTATATAAATTTTTTTATCTAATAATTCAAACCAAAAATCTGATGATGCCTACAAAAAACCGTTAAGTCGTGTCTATTATTTAATAGATTATTATTATTTAGAAGTTTAATAATGTGCAATTTTTCATGGAGGCACAAAGGGCATGGGTCATCCCAAGCTTTACATATTCTAGCCTTGTCAGTAATTTTCCATTTAACTTTTGGTGTCTTATTTGTTTCCTTCAGGTGCAAAAATTTTTTTTTTAGTTGAGATTTAAAACACGTTTTATCACACGGTGCTTCCTCCTACAAAGGAAGAAACCTGTCTATTAATAAAAATAATTGTGCTTAGTGACTTTCCGAACACCCCGTAAATCTTTTCTCTGTTGACATTTGCGAGACTGACTGCTTTAAATATTTTCTTGCTAATCTATTAACTTTTCTTTTTCTTTTATAAATCATTTCACACAAAGCAAATCGATATTGCCACTAATTCCGGGGTAGGGTTTATTGGGAGCGAAAGTGAATGAGAAGATTTTAGAGAAGAGAAATACAATAAATGAACAGAGAGAAGAGTGAGAACAGAACTTACGGCTCTAAAAGGACACTGGCCCTGTTCAATGAGTAATGAAATCACTGGGTGGTGATTTGTACGGACTATTATTTGATTTATTATTAAAATTCTAAGAGTAATAGACTTATTGGTTGGGATAAATATGGAAAAAGAAACGAGTTAATAATTTTAAACAATGAAATGAATTTAAGAATGGTTCCAAAGAGAATTGAACACAGAATTAGCTAGTCAAGATTCAGTAAAATTAAGCAAAACCCAAATTTTCCCCAATCTATTCACTCCCCTCCGATATGAAGAAAACATAACTTGATACTGAGATTCAAAATTCAGGGTTTGTTTACATTAATACTATTCACCAAGAATGCTTATCGTCTTACAGAAAAAGAGTAACCTAATGCCATTTAACAAAGGATGCCATGTGGTTTATGCTGACATCCCAAACTCGGGGTTTGTTTACATTAATATTATTTGTCCAACAATCTTACATTCTAACAGAAAAAGAGTTACCAATTATCTTTTAACAAAGGAAACTGCGTGCTTTATGAAAAGATTAGCCTGTTGCCATCACACGGTACACCCGCATTCCAGTGACCGAAGCGAACACACACACACGCGCGCAGAACAGAGAAATTAATTGAGAGGTGACTGTTTAGCAGTTACTCCATCCAGTGGGGAGAACTTAATCTTTTAGTAGATAATAGAGACATTGTATTCACCAGTTTTAATATTCAATGAACCTGTTGTTAGAGTTATCAACAGTGTTCTCTTTACTGAATGAGTTCTTATTCCAGCTTTGGTTCCGGACACAAAGACAAAATTTATCACGGCCGCAGTCGAGAATTGCTCATTTCTTATCTGTGGTACACAACGTATATTTTTTCCACCGCAAAACAAATATCGTAAGATTTTGGAAAACGGATCAACCCTACTGAGACAAAATAATGGCCCCAAATGAGGAGAGAAAATAAAGTCAGATGAACTTTAAGATCGGTGTTACACTACAAAGCTAGCGGAGTTAGCGACTGAAGAAGAGTGTCAAGGGTTACACGGTTACATCTAATTAATTTAACAGTAAAACGAGATGCCAATCTAGTAGTGAGCTTAAATAGACGCGGACGCGGTACCAAGGAGTAGAGCTAAGTAAGCTATAATGTATTTGTAGAAAAGATAGAGAGAAGCCGCGTGATGGCGTTGGGAAAGTAACTAAAGTTGAGATGCCAGGTCAGGATCTGTTGGCTCCAGTCTCCATAGTGAATGATTGCGAAATACTTTCCTCTCCCCAATTTATAGACAGAAGTATACAAATGCATGCTGGGATTTCTTCCTAACCAATAAAATAGGGCACTTGTAGGTGTCATCTGACTCAGTCTCTGTCTGTTTTTGTCTTAAAGCCAGAACGTTGCGTCAACCCCAATTCTTAGATTGTGAACTTCTTGTCATATTACTGTTGCTTTGCCTTATTATTGTTTGCTTGCTTTATATTATTTTTTGCCCTGTCCTTTCTTGCTATTGCTTCTTGTAAATTTTGTCAATTCTGTCCACCGATTATTTACATTTAACCATGGTTACTTTTGAAGAGGTTAAAAATCATGCATTTTTGTTAACCAGTTACATTATTCACAGGTAAATTTTTCTAGAGGGGTTAAAAAATTTTTTTACCCCACCCCAATTTATTGGCAGAAGCACACAAATGCATGCTAGGATTTCTTCCTAGTAAATAGTCCAGTTCTCGGTCTATCATGTCTTGAAGTCAGAATGCTATGTTCACTTATCCAAATTTGCGCTTGTGTGTCAACCCCAATTCTTAATTTTTGAACTTTATGCCATATTATTGTTGCTTTGCCTTATTACTGTTAATTCGCCTTGCATATATTGTTTGCTTGCTTTATATTACTTTTTGTCCTATTCTTTTCTTTTCCTTATTGTTTATTTTATTTTATTTAGCTACTTTTATAGAGGTTAAAAATCATGCATTTTTGTTGACCGGTAAATTGTTGTACAGGTAAATTTTTCTGGGGGGTTAAAAAACATTTTCCCCTCTCAAAATTATAGGCAGAAGCAAACAAATTCATGCTGCGATGTCTACCTAACCAATCAAATAGGTTGGTTCTTGGTTTCATATTCTCAGTCCTGGTCTGTCATGTCTTACAATCACAACGCTATGTTCGTTTATCCGAACTTTCTCTTGTGTGTCAACCCCAATTCTTAGTCTGTGAACTTTTTGTCATATTACTCTTGCTTTGTGTTGTAGTCCGGTTCCTTGTACCCCGGTGATAGTCCAAGGTAGAACCAATAAAGAACTCGAATGCAGGTATGGAATAACACAGATATATTACAAACAGGAATATATACAGAGAAGTAGAAGTGTTAGTATGAACAATCAGGTTTAGTAGAGAGAACAATGTAGTCTCGACCAGTATCACTATTCCATTGTCTTGCAGCAATTGTCTGAACGCGACTCTGTTTCGGACTGCCTCTGACTCGACACTTGACTCCACTTGAATTACTGACTCGACTCCCTGCCAGCTCCTGAGGCGCAGTATTTATTAAGTATGGAATAGTTCATTATCATTATTATGGGTAAGATCCTATAAAACTTTGTCTTATTACTTGTAATTTACCTTGCATATATTATTTACTTGCTTTGTATTATTTTTACCATTTATTTACACTTCACCATAGACACTCAATCTAGAGGATCATTGTTTAATTTTTTACATGTGTCTTTTTGTGACGTTCTTATAGACGTTTATCTTGGTCTTTTCTGGATAAAGTTTTCTGTTTATTTTTTTTTTAATTTCCATCACGGAATACCTATATCTTTTGAGATTATATCTTTCTTACGTGAATTTGGTGGCTGATTGATTCGTTTTTTACGGTTTATCAACCGCAGGCTTACCAACTTGCAGTTTATTTGAAGCCAGAAAATATTTTTACATTGTATGATATATATATATATATATATATTGGAGTTAGTAATGGTTTATTCGGATTGAGAAATCTGAGAGCTGAGTTCGAAATCCAGTCGAATCTATTACATTCACTTAAGTGCTAATACCCTTGGGAAAGGTATGAATCCTCTTCTTCTACTCTAGCTAGGATAAATATCAGGACACACCCGGTTTTATAGGCTTGGATGGCAACTGGTTCACCGCAGAAAGAAATGGATACCTACTGCGGGAAAAAAAAATCTGCCTCGTCAGTCATGTATCGAAAGATACACAATCGCCTGAGTGTGTATCACACATGGCACATAACTGATTGAATGGTTTAGTGATACACATTTTAGTAATTAACCCATAGCTGGGGGAGAAGAGATGTATTCTTACCTTTCCCAAGGGTATTTGTGCGTAAATGAATGTAACGAACCCGAATTGGAACACAGTTCTTCGTTTAACAATTCCGATCCATTATGCATTACACCACCCTCATTTCGAAGCTGAGAGCACAAGCAGTCACCCATCTATCTACTGACCATACTCGACGTTGCTTAAATTTGGTGAATGTACGGGAACCAGTGTTTCAACGAGATGTGTATAAACCTTCTCAGGTGAAGAAGAATTGTCTTGCGCAATTATTTCCTCCAGTTAAATATTTGTGATCTCTATCCCCTGCAAACGTCTTGTGCAAGGACTTACATTTATTGTCTACGTTTAATTTAACACCGTTAAAATATATTTGAAATGATCTATAGTTGCACCGCCTACAGTACAAACTCAAAACATTATTCAACCCATCCCCCACTGTTGTCTTCGAAGTTGACGCTTTCGATGAAGTTTTGATTAAATCTCTCAACTATCCAATGCCACTCAATATTTGGCACAAATCCCTGCTGTCGAGAAATAAGTTTTCATGTAATACTTCACTAGTTTTATCTTTGTTAACTTTGTGGTGTTTGCAAATGAAATAAATAAACAGATAGAGAGAAAGTGCGATTGATGTGGTGAACGAAATGGGATTGATACGCTTAATTATGGGTGAAGGAGAGAGAGAGAATGTCCATGTGTGCGTCTGTGCGTATGTGTGTGTGTGAAAGATAGAGAGAGAGAGAAAGGGTTCAAAACAGACTAAGAATGAGACGGATTGTTAGATAGAGAAATCGGGCATATAGGACGGAGGTGTGGCCAAGGACTATTTTCTATGGAACATGCAGGGATGGCGATGGTGTTGGGGGTGGAGGCAGCTTTGGCGGTGATTGTGCTGGCAGCAGGGGAAAATATGGAAGCTGCTGCCACTTTGTTTATAGATGATCGGGGCAAGATGTGGTATTTTGGTCCGGCAGCGATGAAGTCAGCCAGATCAGGGTAAGGAAGGGACCAATAAGGACAAAATATGCCGGGGTTGGGGTGCAGTTTAGAAAGGCGGATGGGTTCCCCGAGTATATTTGTGCAGAGAGGTCCATGTACAGAGGCTGGGGACAAGATGATGAAGAAAGATTCCCAGTGACAGTATTAATAGGAGATAGTGGTTAGCATGGAAAAGGAGAGTAAAGGACGAGTAAGGATGAGCGTCCGAAAAAAATGGAGAACGGGTTTGAGTGGGTAAATAGTCTGAGTGTCTGGATGGATGAGGGAGCCGATGGAAAATGTGTCTAGGGAGATTTGATGAAAGAATGGAGGGTGGGCGTAGTTCATTGGTACGGGGATTTTGACTGGAGTGTGGCTGTTGGCTGTGAGAGGGAAAACTTTTTAGATGTTGTCGATGTGACAACTAAGGGCTAAATAGAAAATTCTAAAGAATGGCAAAATAGTAAGCGGCGAGACTGATGTCGAGAGGTGGGGGTACATAAAAAGGCGTAAAAGGCGAAAACAGAAGAAAGCGAAAAGGAAAAAATAAAAGGAAGAGTTTTTAACAATATGAATAAATAAAGAGGACTGATATTAAAATAGAAATGCCCGATATATTAATCTGAACCTTTGTGTTTTGTACGTGTACCTATATTTAACGGTTGGAGGCACGGTGGAGTATAGCGGCTCGGATTGAGGAATTGGAGAGCAGAGTTCGAAATCCAGTCGAATCCATTACATTCACTTACGTGCTAATACACTTGGGAAAGATATGAATCCCCTTCTTCTCCCCCCAGCTATGGGTAAATAGTAGAACAGACCGGGTTCTATAGCCTTGGATGGCAACTGGTTTACCGCAGAAAGAAATGGCAACCTACTGCGGGAAAAATCTGCCTCGTCAGTCATGTATCGAAAGATACATGATCGCTTAACCGTGTATCACGTATAGCACATAACTGACTGATGTTTTATGGATTATGCAAAAGCATTTGATAAAGTACGTCGCGAAGAACTACTTGACTACTTACTTGGTAAGCTTGAGTCCTTTAAGAAAGATATTAGAATAAAACAGCTATTTTTCTGTCAGCAAAACAGAAAAAAATGAATTTTAGTAAATATAAATTCAAAAAAAGAATTCAGTAAATACACAAATATAGAAGGGGGCGTAAGACAAGGATATATCGTCTCTCCGGACTTATTCAAGTTTTACAGAAAGACGATATTTAGAAGTCCTACAAAAATTCATTACTGTTGTCTACAATCTTAACTACATAACATATGTAAATGTTTCTATAGATCCTGTAATTTTCCTTCTGTGTTTGCTATCAACATTGTGTCAGTGTTGATAGCAAACACAGAAGGAAAATTACAGGAACTCATACCGATGAAAGTAAAGGAAAGCAAGAAGAAAAGACTAAACATCAGTTTGGTTTGGTTTATTTTACGGTATACCAACCTCATTGGGTTATTTAATGTCGACAAGTTCTTTTTATTACTGGTAATATTTTTTTTCAAAAATGTATTGCTGGTAATATTTTTTTCCAAAAATCTATTGCGGGTAATAACTCTTCCAAAAAGTATTGCTGGTATTAAAATCTATTTTTATAATTTCATAGTGTTTTGACCCCCCACACCTTGAGGGGCTAACTATTTACCCATACCTGGGACCCTGACAGGTGCTACCATCCCGAGTCAGTTTGGATCTGGCAACACCAGCAATTAAGAGGTTGTTTCACGCTCCTTAAAACCTCCTAATCAGAGGCCTTGCTGTCGGATGAGTTTATCGTCTTACCCAGGACGTGGATATAGTTTATCGTCATACCCAGGCCGGCCTGTTGGATGTAGTTTATCTCTTACAAAGGACGCGGATGTAGTTTATCGTCATACCCAGGACGCTAAACATCAGTAGTAGGAAGACAGGATGTATGCCTGTCAGAAAAAATGAAGAGCCCAAGATGCGAATTACGAATTGGAAACAGCAAAATAAAGCAAGTACAAAAATTTAAATATCTGGAATTGTTTAAACAGAAAACGGAAAATGTGACACCTAAATCCGAAGGCGCACTGGAATAGTGGAAGATGCCCTCCAAAAGCTAAGTATAGTATTAAGAAATAAGAAAATTTCGTTTGAAACAAAGAAAAGCGTGCTGAGATCTTAAGTTATATAATATCAGTCGCCCTGTGTCACTGAATGCTGGACGATAAGAGATGGAGAGAAGAAATATGGTTCTGAGTATACCATGGAGCAGTCTACGAAGTTTTAGGGAAAATGGAAAGAAAAAGAGAACTTAGCTCTCAGAAAGAGGCATTTGAAATTCCCAGTGCACATAAAAAGAGCTCGGAGAATTTGACACTCAAAAGGCATACTGAAGACAAAAGAGACATAAGAACAGATGATAACCTACCTAATGAGCTTGTGTAAAGGTTTGGCAGGACAGGGATTAGAAGAAAACTGCAAATACAGATTTGCCTAGAGCCATGATAGCCCACGCCCTGAAGGGGCACGTCATGAAGAAGAAGAAGGAGAAGATATTATTAACATTTCTGCTGCAGTGGATGTACTTATACGTCAACCCGAAACTCGCTTTGCCCGCTGTAGACGTATACATACTTTTAAGACAACGTGAATTGTCGGTCCCAAGTGTTTGTGTTATGAACTTGCTAGCGCTTCTTGCTATCCCAAACCCAGCGTAGAAATATAGTAGCGTCCAAAATGACCTGTTTTGTAAAGTATTTTTATTATTTTGTGTTGGTGGTGACCTTTTGTTTATTCTGAACTGCAGTGGGCGTTTTCAAAAACAAAATGGCGGCGTCGTTAGTCTCTTTATATACATTTATTTCCAGCAAATGATAATTTCCAAAACGAGACAGCACAGCGGGACAACAATGTTAAAAAATGTAAAAATGAAAGTGTCAAGTGCAACATAATTAACTAACATAGCCTTTACTTTATAATTGTTTTAATCATTTCATCCTAAGCAAGGCGATTATGCCACTAGGACGCATGGGTTTACTGAGAGTGAAATATAAGACCTTAGTGAGGAGAAATGACAATAAAAACAGGATTCCGGAAGACAGAAGGTCTCGATTGACGTTGCATTTATATTTTTTTTTAGGTGACCGGGAAAGAAGTAATCGGAATGGAGTTCATTTGGCGAAAAGTGCGAGAAAAGAAACTCTGAAGAATAGTTGAATCTAGTTCAACAGTAAAACGGCGAGACCTAATTGCCAATCTAGCAGAATATTTAAATTCTTGCAATCGCCGCCCTAAAGAGAAACGCTCATCAGAACAGTTGGTATGAAAATATTTGTAGAGAAACAGAGGCATACCAAAAACAAGGAATTACACTAATTTAACTGTTTAGTGTAGTTATAGACTACAGAAATTTCTGGTAAGTTTTTACTATGAAAATGTATTGCTGTTATTTTTACTATTAAAATGTATTTTATTTATTCATGGTGTTTTGACGCTAGTTTAGGGATTCACTATTTGCCCATACCTGGGGCCATAACAGGTGCTACCACCCCGGGTCAGAGTGGAACACGACATGGAAGGAAACAGAGGGAAACAGATGGGTAAAATGCCTAATGAATAGTGAGGGGCATAACGGGGACAAATGGAGGTATTAAAGAGTTGCACGAAAGATAGGATGTTGTGGAGAACCATAGCCACCCTTGTCCTGAAGGGACGTCTCACACATAAGTAAAAGATTCAATTTTTTACAAGCAGTGGAAAAGAGTAAGTAATATGCTTAACAAATTTGAGTGAATGGATAGTTGGAAGATGATAAAAGGTCAAAAGTTACTCAGAAAAGAAGTTGTGGAGATCCATGTCCCGAGCGCACATGGCACATAAAAGAAGAATAATTATTTCACTGTATTAAACAAGTTTTTCTCACAAGTCATTGATAGTAATTTCTTTTTCACATTTTCAGCCATTGTGCCATTATTGAAATATTCGAACAAAACTTTACCATCTTTTGTTTGACACAAGGACATATTAATTTGAGAA